CCTATAGGCAATGTGATAAAGACCCTTACCACCGGGCCAGTCCTCTTTGGCTTGCTCCCAATACCATATAATAGGTGATATTAAATGAGGTATTATCCAAAATGAGAAGAATACTCATACACTAAATATTTAGGCATTGATGTAGGGTACTTATTGTCTTTCTAACTTGATACTATTATGCATTAATTCCTCTTCCAAATATGATATTGGTATTAGAATAATGAGATCAACATTTATCCAAACATGATTTAAGTATGACAGGATAATGTTGTTAACCAATCATTACTACCGCTATGGATTGGAAGATAAACAATTGTTCAATCTCATCCCATGCTATACTTAAATCAAACATGCCCTCTCAGTTCTAGATTAACACATAATATAAATGATAACGAGCATCCAGAATTTTGTGTCTTAATGGTTCTTTGTCATCAGCCTCATCCCTAATACCCACCCAATTCATTTGAATGTATTAGGTGACGTCTAAAACTACATGTTATTATATTCATTGACTGACCAAAAGGCTTTAATCACATCACAATACAATACTAACAATTCAAAAAGATGCCCAGCTATGAGATGAGCACAGAGAAACCATTCTTTCACTATTGACTTATCAACAAAAGAATCAACAAAACAAAGAAAGAAGAAAAGGTTCAGCAGCATGTACCAAAGTCTAGGCTCATAATTCTACTTGGTTACACTAGTTATCCCCAACCATGAAACATTTAGAAGAATAGACATGATGTTTTTTTTTTTATATAAAGTGCTAACAGAAAGGAGAATGTCAGAGGCAAAAGCTACATCATAATTTATACAGCTATCGCCAGATTGATGCACAGACATAATCAGTACTCCATCCATCACACAAGAAAATAATAAAACATTCCTACAATGACAACAATATAAAGCAATCGAAGAAGAATAACAGTACCTGCAGATAAACCTCATCAGTAATTGTAAAGTTTGGACTGCAAGTGCAGGTCATTTCTCCACCACTGGTGGATGCCATGAGCTTCTTTGAAGTCTGAGGACCGAGTCAAATTAACTGTCAAATTTGCTGATGGAATGAGGTGCAGTGCCTCTTCAGACTCCTTCCCAATTGCAGTCATAAATAGACCCCCAATTGAATGCTGTGTCGCCAACCTCTCAATACCACCTGCTCCAATTTCCTCCATCTTTTTCCTGTGTTCAAAATACCCAATATATTCGGAACAAATGTGATCGGACGGATTCACAAATAGGTACGGCACCCATGCAGACAGAGCAACAAATGTATTGTCAGGTTGATTCTTCTGGTGTTTACCCTTCAAAGCAACAGCAAATCCAGCCGTGATCAGGCTGCTTGCAATTCGGACTCCGTGTTTCAGTTTCTTATCCTTGATTCTTTCTATTGGGGCAGAAAAGAATGGTGGATTAAATAGAAAAGCTTCAAGGAAGATGCCTCTTTTTGCCATATTCTTTCCTGCAAGCATTGCCATGGCTGATCCCAGGGAATGGCCAGCCAACCAAATATTAGAATTTCCCACTGCAGCAACCATGTTTTGGACAGCTTGCATTGCTATTTCGAAGCGAGATGTCCGGTGGAGTCCATTCCGAATAAAGTGGATGTCCAATTCGAAGTCTCGCGAAAAGGCATCCCCTTTGGTTAAGGTGCCCCGAAAGGCAATTACATAAAGTGGAACTTCAATGAAGTGGTTGCAGTTCTGAGGAATCAATTCATAGATGGCTCCAAAGACAGATAGATCAGCATCATCCACAAGTTGACTGTATAACTGAAAATTGAAGAACTGCCACCACAGAGGAGCAAGGGCGTGGGTCCCTTGCCGGTTCTCCTGACGGTCTCGCTGTAAGATGTATACACCCTGAACCAAACTGGCAGCAACAGACCTTCTGTGATCAACATTTCTCCTGCATAAGATAGCCTAGAAAGTTAATTCTGTCATCTTCATGTTAGGTTTGTTGCTTGAAGAAAACTGAAAATTAAGCCAGAAGTAAATTCTACATTCACTATTAACCCAAAGGAAAAAAAATCCAAATTCAGCTTCTGCCACCGTCACACCCACCAAATGGCCACCACCAACAAAGAATGCATTGCCACCACCAACTGACCACTGTCACTACCATCCCCCTCCCACAACCACCCAAAATTCTTCTGCTTCTCCTCCATCTCTCTGAAATAAAATCTCTCACAACATCACAACACCAACCTATTGCCACCACAACCGCGACCAACATCACCAAAACCTACTGCCCACCACTACCAACACTCACCCATCACTGTCACATCCTTTTTTTCCTTCTTACTCCCACTTTCTCTCCATCTTCGATGTTTTTCAAAGCAGGGGTATTTCAGTTGATTTGTATAACTTTTCTTGCCATTCCTACTAAAAATCCTGCCTGCCATGTGCCGAATGCAATATTGAGAATACAATGGCCATCTTGTGGCGTATTTCAAAGGTTCATTCCCTTACAGCCAAATTTCCATTACAGCAAACCAAAGCCTTGTAAGCACTGAGGCATGGCAATGTGTCAACGTATATAAATGCATAAGTTTACCTACATAACTTAGTTTGTTTACACATATTTTCTGCTTTAAAAAAAAAAAAAAGAAAAAGAAAAAGAGGAAACATGCCGCCAATAGTTAAGACACATGATGCTATAACAAGTCAACACATATGTAAATGAGTGTCCAAGCCTCTGACAGCCTCATAGTCAATTAGAAGAAATATCTACATTTAATAGAATTTTGAAAGTGAATAGAACTGGTGTCAATTTCACTAGAAACTTGCTGAAATTAAAAACATTTGGTACAATCAAATGTGCACCACATCTGCATGGAGATATGTGACACCGAAGCTGTTTGTTGACTATGCACTACAATAGATGTTGGCTCGAAGTGGAGAACAAGTTAGTGATTTCTTATCGTCTGCTCAAGCAGGGACCATCCTTGAAGTTATTTAGTACAAACATTGACTGCAAATCTGAATCCATTCAACATATTCTAATGATAATTCAATTTGACTCCCTACAATCCATCTCCAAAAAACCACCTCAAAAAACCATGACAATAAATAGAAAAACACTCACCAGTCAACAGTATTAAGGTGCAAGGGCCCTGAACAATTGAAATCTTCCCTCTCTGAGCCCATTACTCCTTATGCTGTCTTATTCTTTCTTCTTCAAACAGAAAACGTTGAACTGCATAGCAAAGGAAAAGCCAGTCACAAACATGACTTAGAACTTAGACACATCCACATGTGACAAAATATTCTGATGCATTGTAATGAAACATGTGCCAGTGAAGATCGCATTGTCCACCAAGATACTAAATGGTACAACAAGCCATCTCACGCCCCCAATCTTGCATACATCGTGAAATTAGCATGATAAATATCTATTACCCATTGTTGTACCATTCATGTTTATGAACTTCATATATAATAAAAGAAATTTCATCCTTTACAGAATCCCAAAAAAATCTTTCCAAATTGGGGGAACAACTTCCTGCATTTCTAAAGCACAAAGCCTCTAACACTACTAAAGCACTCAAACAAGAGAATCACGTTCTCACCATTGTATTCCTAAACAATGTCTTTGTACCTATACTTCCACCTATGTGCGCAAAAACATGGCAATACTAAAAATACATACTTGCTAAAACATAGTTTATAAAAACTCACTCAAATACCACATCCCACGTGCCAGATTGCCTGATTTTTATAGGGTAATATATGTATTAAATTTTCAGAAGAACATGAAGCTTTGTGTCTTTGCTTACCAGAACATAATGGAGCTTACGCAAATTTACTGAACATAAATTTCCGATTCCAGCCAAAGTCGCAACCTAATTAAGCTCAAAAAATTCCCAAACATAGTATCAACAACAATAGTAAGATCTCGCAACTCGTCGAAAATTTCCGAAACCGAGCATTAAGAAAAATCATATCTCGACAATTAAACCGAGCATTAAGAAAATCATATCAGCAGTTCATATCTACGTTTGACAGCCGAAGTAAGATATCTACAATGCACAAACACACATTACAGAGGCTATAAAATAACAGCAAAATACCTCGTACACAAGTTACAGAGGAGATCTAAAACATTCTAAGAGTTTGTTTTGCTTTTGGGATCATTAGATTTGGATCTTCTTCGTTTCTTTCCCTCTCACTATCTCTCTCCTGTCCGGTGATAAAGGTTGGGAAGTTGGAGGGTCCTTGTCAAGTAAAAGTTCTCGCGTGTTGTGCATCTCTTGGAAAAAGCTGAAAATGAAATTAATACGAGATCGTATGCTGTAAATTTAAGGCTGTTACGTGGGGATTAAATATTAAATTGTATTATTTTTTATTTAATTGAGTTTAATATTTTATTTGATAAGTAAATTTGATATTGTATTAATTTTAAAAATATATATTTATCGTATATTTTTTATATGATAAATCTGTATTATAGAGATTTTTTAATACCACCAAAAAGAAGTGGTATTATAATTTCATTCAAACGTATTATTTTACACATTTATTATTACAACCTCAAGTGATAAATTTAAGTTGTCATTAATGTAACAAACATTGATTGAGAGTATTTTTATTAATTCAACGTTAATAAGATAAAATAATTCTCTAACCAAATAAGTGATTAAATTAAATAACTACTATACAATACTCATATTGTGTATTGTCAAATACTATATAAAATTACGCACATTATTTTAACATTATATTTAATCTTATCTTTAATCCATCTGTATTGTATTAAATTGTATTATTTTATCTAATTCATCCAATTTTAATACAACTTCCCCATGGTCACTAATATTATGTCACCCAATGATTAATATCCATTAAAAACTTGACAATAAAAAATTATTTTATTTTACACCCGAAAAAACATGGTTGATGTCCCTAGGAATTTATCTAGATTCTATCTGACATTTTTTCTTATATTCCTTGATAGTAAATCATTTATCAACTCAAGTAAAGCTCACTATATAAAGTAATCACTGATCAATAGACATTAGATAATCAGTCGTTAAAAAAAACTACGAAAAAAATGTGCCAAAAACAATCCACATCCCAGCACACATCACCATTCTCCATGAATACAAGTAGTGACACACCACAACCATATACACAAAGAAGAAAAAAGGGGGAAGGGGGGGAGACAAAGATTTGCCCATCAATATGCTGCTCAAGTGATAAACTTGTTGCCACTATAATAAGAATTCGTTAGTGTCAGCTGTTTTTTTATTCTTTATAGTAGGTTCCCCTTTTACGGGGAAGAAGAGAAGTCCAGCTCAGGAAAAAAATAACCCAAGCTTATATCCTCTCCTATAACTAGTATCCCTTCAGAAACCCCAAATTTAAGACACTTTCGTACAGCAATACAGAGGCCACATAATTAAGAGTGTGGACACAGTCTCAGCTTTGAGTCAAGCAGAGGAGTCTGGGGATCCATAGCCATAAGGGTTCTTGCTGGCCCAGTTCCATTGATCACGGCACATCTCCTCAATTCCATATTTTGCTCTGCAAAGACGCACCACATTGTTACAAAGTATTCAAAGTGGTGTCTGATTATACAACGGATGTTGTGCAACCACTTAAAGAATATCATATCGGTTGATGACTTTCTATCTTGATGATTTACAAAAAGTCATCAACCTATAATTGGATTGACCAAACTGAAGTAACCTTAATAGTCGTGAATCATTTATTGTCAACCAGTGAAGGAAGTACTTTTGAGTCATACAAATAGCTGCACACTGTTTTGCACCGTGGTTAGCATTTATGACTTACCTCCAGTTCAATTCGTGTTCTGCTTTATCTGTTGATGCATACACAACCTCAGCATCACCAGGTCGCCGGCCAGCAATCACAAGGGGAATTTTCTGGAACAAAGCATAGCGAAAACAAATTATGTATGCATGCGCCTACATAAGAAACATATATATATATATATATATATATATATACACGAAGAAGAATAAGAAGGGGGCATTAGATGCTTCCAAGAGTACGTTCACTAATTGAGAAAGTGTACAAATTCAGTGGCAGGGTCCTCCTTAATGACTGGCGCATGGCCTTCACTAGAAATGACGGGCACAACTTTCACAACAACTCTATGTAACAAATCTCACATCGGTCTAGTTTCTACTAGTATAATACTTTTCAAATCCCTCTACCGTGATATATGCAAAAAAAGAAACACTCTTCCCCAAACACTGAAACTTAATTCAAGAAGATTGGTAGGACTCCAATCAACAATTCTGGTTCAAATATGAATTTGGAAGCAGGGGATCAAATCCATATGCCACAAAATTTTCCAACCAAGAAATTCCTAGCACAGTGGCTGATGTGAACAAAGTTCAAGCTATCGTTATTGCTCACCATGAATCAAAAAGAAAAATAGACCCACAGAGAAAGAAATTCAAAGAAAAAACAACTTTGTGCATTTCAAAATACGGAAAAATAAGAAACTTAAACACAAGTTTCAACAACTTAATACCTTTCCAGATGCTTTCTCAAATGCTGCTACCATTTCCAAAACTGATGTTCCTTTCCCAGTTCCCAAGTTGTACACTTCGCAGCCTACAGATATTTCAGTAAAATTAAAATTGTTGAAGTCTAGCCATTTGATATAAAGCTAGCAGAATAAATAACCCATTCAACTAGCATTGAATTAATTATTTGATCTATTGTATCTCTTCTAGAATATGGCATGCAGCCACCCGGATTCGAACCGAGATGCTTTAGCACTGCTTCCTAAGAGCAGGGTTTGAAGCCTCTCCTTAAAATTAACTTTAAACACAGGTTCCACAGGCCACCTTACATATCATGGCAAGATTAGCCTCAGAATAAAAAGGAGGTATATTCTGCCTATAATTCTCAAGTAAATGCATTTAATCAAGCCATATAAAGCATCATTTATGTAAGATAGTGCAAATAGGTTCATCCACAGCAAGACACCAAAAAGAAAAACGGATATTAATCCCAGATACATACCTACAGAAGGATCAGAGAGCTTCCTCAATGCAGCGATATGCCCATCTGCTAAATCCATGACGTGGATGTAATCGCGTACCTGAGAAATCGAAACAAATAAGCACCATCAAGGCACAACCTCAAAAAGCAGAAGAAATTAAATATATATGAAAGGACAAAATCATGATTATGCAAATCTCAGATTTTCCTGAGCATCATTTGATTCCTATGAACTCTTGACGTACAAAATTAGGTCAAAACTGAACGAGGAAAATGGGGCATACCCCTGTACCATCCTTGGTTGAGTAGTCGGTCCCGAAAACAGTCAATGCAGGCCGCCTGCCAACAGCTACTTGCTGCACAAAGGGCATGAGATTGTTTGGGATTCCACGAGGATCCTCGCCAATATAGCCACTAGAATGTGCTCCTACTGGGTTAAAGTACCGCAGCAATACAATTTTCCATTTGGAGTCTGAACCGTAGATATCACGACATATGTCTTCAATAAAAAGCTGAAGAAAGCAACAATTTATGGGTGGTATCATCCATGGTGTTTCGCACACAACTCACATGATGAAGCAGCAATAGAGACACACAAGCTATAAGTTCCAACTAAGAATAGATAGTAAAAACCCTTCATTATTTCAAATGCAACCATAAACGCATCTCTTTAGTCCACCTGAATTATATGATAATAACAAGGATGAGATAATGACGCAAAATCTACCTTGGTTCGTCCATATGGATTTGCAGCAGATAGGGGAAATGCCTCTGTGCATGGAACCTCCTTTGGCCAACCATAAACGGTAGCTGATGATGAAAACACAAGCTGAAATGTTTTAAAAATTTTAGTTAGCTAGACATTAATCTCAGCACCACATAATAACACAAAATTAGCATAAAACAGAAAACTGTGACAGCAAAGTCTAAAATAAAAACACGACCATATAAAGGGATCACGGCAGTGGATGAAAAAGCAAGAAAGAAATTTATACATACATATTTTTACTCCAATATGCATCCAGTTTAGTTTATAGCCAACAGTCTCAACTAAACAGCCATAGCGTCATGCATTATAGATTTTTGAACTTGATTAAGAAACCTCATACTGAAAAACCCACAGCTTCGTCTTGAACTTATCCTCAGACGGGGGTGGAGGAGCTGCACTTTTCTGACTTAAATAGTTCGCTTTTACTAAGCAAACTAAATAATTCAATGGAAATAATCTGTTTTAAGATGAAACATTGTATGGCATATGGATTGACATGAATGACTTGGATATGAAAATGTATGAAAAGTGCATAGCTCCTGACATGAATAACCTGATAATCTATATATGATGCCCTTAAAAGACAAGTAACTCTTAAGAACCTTTAAGATTGCAATTTTTAATCAGCCATCAGATTTTCCCCTTTAAATCAATTAGCAGTCGGCTAACAAAAACTAAAGAAAGGATTCAGGAGGAATCCAGAAACTCGAAATTAGTCCCAATACCACATAGTTGAACACATATTCCAACATAGTTGACTAGTTGTACAAATAACATTATTTATATATAAAAGCTTAGGAATCTGAACTCAATATGTAGTAACCCCAAGGAATGTACCTTTTTGCATCCATGGGCAGCCATTACTTCCAACAGTGTAATGGTACCAATGAGGTTGTTGTTATAATACATCAAGGGTTTCTGCACACTTTCACCAACTGCTTTCAATCCAGCAAAATGGATAACGGCGTCAAACCTGTTGGGCAAAACAGATGGCCAGCAGAAGAAAAAGTCGATGGTAATATAATCAAACAAGTCGGATTCATGTAAACTAAAAATTCAGTTTCCAATTGATGTTACAGATTTTGTATATATGATTTTCCTTTCTTTTTTTTTTTTAATGTAAATATCTTAGCCTATCAAAATCAATATCTTTGGCCTCACAATCTGAACTTTTCACCAAATTTATGACATTTATGAGTTAAATAGAGATGTTTCAGTCTTATAAACTCTGGGGCCCAAATTGAATAAAGTGTGGCTTAAAGAAACCTGATTTTTAGAACCTGTTCAAACAGGGAAAATGACAACAGAAATAATTTGAGAATCCCCATCATATGTACATAACTAAGATGACAAAGAATAAGGTAGGAATTAATGCAATTTGCACTAATAAGGTTAAAATGATGGGACACAGTTAGTACGCGACGCTTAATGGGACCAACCCATCGGAATTTTTCTTTTTTGATGGAGCTCTTAAGTGATAAAGTGCCTGCATAAATAGTAAATCCTCCAACACAAATCTTACTTTGTCGAAGCAAAAAGCTGTTCAAGTGCAGGTTTATCCCGTAGATCCATCTGCAAGAATAGCAATTATCATATTAGTTAGAGCCATCAATTAGAATAATAAAACCCTAGACAGCAAAATCGATTGTTGTTGATGTGCATCTCTAGCGTCACAGGAAAACTAAGAATTCAGATGTAATCCGTTCAATTAAAAATAATATAAAAATAAAACCACAAAATAATGGAATGCAACCATAAAGAGTTGTTGAACAAGTAGATAACCGAACTTAAATTTCATAGAAACGTCGAATGAAAAAAACCCCCAATTGCATAGAGAAAGGGGTCGAATTGTGATAAAGTCGTCGTGATGAACAGCAAAATCAGAAGAGACGGAATTTTCATGCTGCCATTAATTTTTTGCTATTGTTTTCAAGCATATGTATCTGAACACAATTCCATCGAATTCAAATCGAGCACATGATCAACTAAAAAATAATATAGACAGATTCGACTTTCATACTAAAAAACACGTACTACATTCATACAATTACATATTACATATACAAATAAATACACACACATGCACACAGTTAGTGTGGAATGGAAGAGGATTTCCAAAGAAACGAACCTTATGAAAGGAAAGGTTATGGCCATAATCACCGGCGAGTTCTTGGACTCTTTTGACGGCAATTTCGGAAGAGTTATCGAGATTGTCGACCACTACGGCTTTGTACCCTCCCAACAATAGCTGAAGAACGGTGTGGCTTCCGATGTACCCCGCGCCGCCTGTCACCAATATGCTCTGCGCCATCACCCCCGACTTCTACTATATATTGCTGAAACACCACTACTGTGCGTATAAGACCCGGTCTGATCTCACCAACATGAAGAACAAGAATAAGAACAAGAACAAGAGCAAGAAGAGAATTTGCTTTGACGCTTTCGATTGAGACTTTGATCAGAGATTCGCTATGTAAAACGTGAGGGCTATATATACGTGAGGACGAGAGAGGACCCTGTTTTAGTAAAGTTTTAGTACAGCTGTAAAAGGTCTTTTTTAGAGTAATTTTTTTAGGACGAATTAAACTTTGACCTCAAAATTTAGGGCGAATTATACTTTGGATTAAAATATAGCCCTTTACTCATTTTTATCAACTTTAATGTATGGTTTTTGACGGAATAAACAAAAGTTAACAAAAAAATGTAGAAGCTCTCCCTTTGACCTGACTAGGAGGCCATCCACCACTTCGACTGATGTGTACGAGGTTCTCTAGTCATAAAAGAAATAATGAAAGGAAAATAAAGGTATAATTTGAAAAGTCTAATTTCTAAAGGTATAAAATAAATTTTTTAAGACTTTTGGGGTATAAAGTGAGATTCTCCCTTTTTTAATAATTTTTCGGGGCAGAACCAAAGCTATGTGGTGAAGGTTTGGCGGTTTTTAATGTTGAGTTAGCGGTGCCCGAGATTCTCGATCGTGAATTGACCAGAATATCCTTCCTATTTTTATTAAAAAAGTATTTTTATCTTATCAAATCAGAATAATTGAATTCTATTTTTAGCGTAATTACAAACATATTTATAACTCAATTATCATTTATCTTTTCCCTTTTGATTTTTTTAAAAAAAATCGTTAGAAATTTAGCTGACAGATAGAATTTATTTTTTTAAAATACCAGTGTTTTTAAAAATTATATACTAGTTTAACTAAAAGTAAGTAATTCAAATAATTTTACAAATATGAGAGAAAATCACATACAAGCAAAGGTAGTAATTGTAATTACTTCAACTTTCAGTAAAATTATAATTGATTAAATGCATTTGTAAGAGTGTGAAAACATTTTTTTGGAAAATGGTAAAAAGGAGTCAAAGTACATAATTTTTAAGATTTCTTGGCAATTTTTCTTTTCAATTTCAACCTTTAAATTTATAAAAGTTGTCAAAATATGACACAACACGAAATTACAGGATTTGAGTATTCGTTAAACCACCTGTTTCATAAACGTATAGACCTGATACGATTAATAAACAAAATGAGTATGAATAAAAAGTATCAAAAAAAATAGAAGACATGATTCGTTTATATATTAATTATATATGAATAGAGTATTTTTTGACATAAATTCACTAAAATTCAACACAAACTTACCTTACTCGACATGATTGACAAATCTAATGAAAATATATGAAAATTTAAATGTTGAGTCGACTTTTCGTTGAATTGAGTTTAGTTAAATTCTTGAAATATAACAGAATTTTCCTTTTTTTTTAATCATATCATATAAACGGCTTTAGAGTAATCTTTAATTTCTTATTTGTTGTCTTCTTTCTCAATGACGTATAAAAAAATCATTATATCTTTGATATAATTGTCCTTTGACCTTTTTTTTTGGTCCTTTTAACCACTCCAATGCAACTCACCAACTGTTCATTGCACATAACCAAACGAAAAGGAGAAAAAGACACAAATCCACGTCCACGTTACTTGTACCAACCGCAACGCTAAGTCGCCAACACTCACCAACTAGTCAATGGGACTTGCAGCAATTTGACTTATGGCCAAACTTGGTCATAAAAGTTTGGTACTACACGAAAGGAAATCCTCAAGAAGTCACCAATTAAAAAAAAAACGACCACCATTTGTCAATTTTAGTGAAGAATGTTGGTCTACAATTCCAGCAGAAGTTCACTAGAAAGAATGAGGGAAATCCCATGCATAAAAGTATCAGAATTCTCCAGTTGCAACACCACAAGTACAATGATGAATTCCGAATTTTCAATCAACAATGCCAACTTAAAGTTACAACAGAACGATGCAGTTCTTACATTCAAAGGTTAGTCGAATGGAAGGACAGCCATCAGCATTGAGACAATCAAGCTATCCTCACATATGCCATCGTCCTTCCCATGCAAGTTGAAATTTTTCTTCAGGATGATGGTGACTATATTGTCGTGCAGCAGTCATAGCGTATATGTAACAGAACCAGTGCCAAATGTTCTGTTTCTCGACTGAAACCGATCAATGAGAGTAGAAAAGTAGTCGTAGACACAGTGATGCCAAAACCTTGACAAATATAATTCAGGCTCAAGTACATTACCAGTTATCGGTCTACAATCTGTTCTGTGGGTATGGCTTCAGAACTGAGAAGTCTTTCTGCCTCATCATTTGCCTCGGCTTGGATTCTCCATCTCTGCATAAACATTTGAATAATTATAAAACAAAAACTACATGTTGCAACCAATCCTGCACATCTATGAAATATAGCATAAGCAATCCTACCCATACTCTCATCCCATCCATACATGCCAAAAATGAAGGAAGATTATTTGAGAATTCACCAAGCCTCTTTTAGGAAAGCCTTTGAAAGTGAGTTAATAGTGCTTCGATAGAGTTTCCGTTTTCTCATTCCAGAATCATCCTTTTAATTTACCCTTTTCTCTTTTGTTTAAACAATATTGATTAGGCTACTTTCAAGTCCTCATATAATGTTAAAAGCCAGTGAAAATGCTGCTAAGTAATGAACCCGTGCCTCTTCAAGATTTTCAAGCTCCATGATTTGCTGTATCTGTTCAGCTATACTTTCTTTCTGCACATAGCAAAGGCAGAGTTCAATAAGCACTGGGGAAATGTTGAAGGCAGTGTGATCCATTTTTAAGATTCCAGAAAAATGGATATCTCAA